CGGTGGTGGTCGACGGCGATCGACGATGGCGAGGATGATCTTGGACTTGAGCTCCTTCTCAAAGCCTCAAGTTCTCTCTTAAGCCTCCTTTTCCTTTCATGTGAGGGGTGAGGCTCTATTTATAGTGTTTTGAGTGCAATTAATGCAGGAATATGAACCATTTTGATCGGACGATCCGGAGAGCTTCCCTTGATCAGATGACGTTTGATGGACATTTGAGTGCCTTAACGATGTCGGAATTGAGCAATCTTGAGCTCGTTGGATTCGTCTTTTTGAGATGCTCGATTCGACTATAAACTCGTTGGATTCGACATTTGTTTGACCTTTCAAATGCCTCCGAAAATCTCGTAGTAGTGGTTTAATGACTTGATTCGAGCTTGTTTTGACTCGGATTGGACTAATTTTTATATCAATAGATCCGTTTCATCGAGCCGATCAATTTGACTATAATTTTGCTGAAATCGGAATTCCGGATGACTCGTAATCAAAGTTTGAATGTTCGTGCTCAAAATATTGCATCGAGATTCGTGCTGGGTTATGATAATTTGTTGGTGGCGTATCATAACTCATGTAAGAATTAATTGTTATAAAGTTAATTAAGAACAATCTATAAGAATTTAATAATTAATTACATTAGGGTTGTCAAATCAAGTTCGAGGATCAAATTGGGTTCTATCTCAAAAATAATTTGACCTGAAACTGCTTGACCCAAAACTAACTAAAATATAAAATAAATCAAAAAGTTCAACCCGAGCTCGTCCCCCCTTCAACTTGTCGACTCGAACCCGACTCTTTTAACCCATTTAACATAAGGCATAATAGTTATTTGAGTCAATTTTTGGTTCGATGTTGGGCCAAGTTTGAGTTGAATGGTCGATTAGGTTAGCAGATCAGTGTTGAATCAATTTTAAGCTGGCGGGTCAACTTGTACGAAAAACACCATGGTAATATCTAAGGTCATATGAATTATACATTTCATTCTTAAGAATATATTATAAACGAACTACACAAATAGTAATATAAAGTTTGTAAACCTAATAATCTCGAATATCTTTAAATTAGTGTTCAATCTATGGTAACTCATAAAACCTTCCAGCAACACCAAGCTCGCGAGCTTATAAATGAGGGTTACAGGAGAGTCTCATCCATAATTTAGTGAAAATTGGAAGTTGTAATTAATCAGCACATTCTTGAGACACGTTGCTGTAGCAAAAGATTCTATCTTGATTAGGCTTTTTTTTTTAAGTCAATTGGATTTTTATTTGATATAGGAAATGTTTTGAATTGTCATATTGGCTTCGCTATTTTTAGGGAATTATCTCTCATATGCTTCTATTGGCTTTCACTCTGAGTGATAACATCATTCGTCAAATTCAAAAAGGTATTGCGCTTGGAGGCCGTCGAAGAACTCTTACACCCTATTTAAGATGAAGCATGAGTCAAGCATGTCATTGTGCAACTTTATTGTACGATTTCAAATAGAATATTGGCTCTTGAGAGTTGAAGCTAGTTATGACTCAAGTAGCACTTACCCAAAGATTGTTGGAATTTCCTTCTAGGTATGCTCAAGTGTTTGATGATAACCAGAGATATTGGTTGAATTAATTGATCACACTAATAGGCATATCTTTGCAGAGGTTTATGAATTAACTAACTCTTGAATGAACCACCAATGAAATCTTCCTTGGTTGATATTTATACATTCTTGTTTGAAAGAACACTAGAATCGCCTAAAGATTTTGCTTTTGAAAAGAATGACACACTACCAACCACTCTTGTTTAAAAGAACACCAAAACACCTTGAACAACTGTGAACATGAAAAGATTGTCATTTATCTATCAATTCCTGCATAAGCTTTTATTAGTTAAATCTATAAAAATCAGAACCTATGAAATTGAGGGCGCTTTAGGCTCCCATGCATTAAAATATGAAACTTTCTGCGCGGTCTATATTCTTGTCAAAAAAAAAAAGTTGCTTACATCTGCAACATTTGGTGGACAATCTCATCAAAGCAAGAAAAAAAATTATAGAACACCATAACTTGACCTAAAAAAAAAACTACTAAAGTTAAAATAAATAAATAAATAAGGAATGGAGAAAGAAGCAAAGTAGTGTAAATGCAAGTTATCTATAAATGCTAAATATTCTATATAGAAAGTAGTTCTTTCAACATAAATTTCTATGAAAATATAATGAATGACATTATTTTTGTAACAATGTAGTGCAAAAGTCTTATTCTTCTTTTTAGGGGGCATTTACATACAAAACACACAATTCTTATATATTTAGATATCCACACCTAAAACACATAAAACATAACATAATTATTGATTTTAAAAATATATATATTTACATTTTCATGCATAAATTTGAAGTGCTAAAAAATAATGTGTGTAAATATGAAAGTTTAGATGTGAAATATGTAAATAGTAAGCCCGTGTGTGTGTGTGTGTTAAGTATTAAAAATAAATTAGCTGAGGACCAAATATATTATTATCCGTTTTTTAAAATGAAATACATATTTTCATGTATAGGCTTGAAATATTAACTTGTTAAATACATAGGAATTGATTTCGAAGCATGTAAATATCTTCCTTCCAATTATGGCCGTCATATTTAAATATTAAATTTGGTTTTGGGCGTGTGGTTTCAGGCCGGTTTTGCGAAGGCGGAGGGAAGAGTGCGTGGGAGAGGTCGGTAAGGGAGCGGCGCCGATGGGAGAGGGCACTTCACCGGCTTGATTGTGGTCATCGTCGGCTGCTTTTTGAGGTGAGATTGAGCTAAGATGAATGATGCCCTAAATCTACTTCTACTTTCCGTCTTCATTAACTCTTTTTTCTTTTCTCCTTACCTTTTATCTCCTCTAAGTAAGGGAAGGAAGCCGGTGGCCACGTGTTTCCGGAGAGATTGATCGCCGGAGTGAGTATCTCTACGAGCAGTCTCCCTTCTCCTTAAAGCTTACTGCTAGGAAAACCTAACGTAATTCAATCAAAAATTACATTTTTAGCCTCATTGGTCTGACAATTGTGAACTTTGCATTTTTTTTTTTTTTTATGAATTTATTTCACCTCAACTCATGAGACAAAGCATTCATGAATGGTCTCATAACAGGATTCATCTATCCTCCATGAGCATGTACGTCTCCTGGAATTTTAGTGAATTTCTCGAGATGACTTTCCCAAGCTTCTTTGTTGAGTGTTTCGTGGATGTTTGTTGTGCTGGTGAGCTGCTTGGTAAATTGCTTTGAATGAATGGAGTAATATGGGCGACAATATTAGCTTGTAAGGCTTAACTGACATTCTGCGACATAATCTTGATTAGAATAACAACATCAATTGTTGGGACTCCGGCAGCCCCAGCGGTCTAGAGTAGTAAACCTATGATTGTTGATATAACACGGATTTTTAGGAAAGGAGCATCTCTTCTGGTAGATCTCTATCTAGTTCTAGTGTATGTGATCGCAACACTTTTCTCGGGGGCATTATTTTACACAAATAAATAAAAGTAAGGACAAATTAAAGTATATAGGCAATAATACACATGGTTACAAATATAATAATAATTTAGAAGAGCCTAAAAAGTAACTTTTTTGTTCTTCTAGTCTATGAAAGAGTGAACTATGTTGCATGAAAAATAAATCACTCAATGCCATTTTGCAAAACACTGTGTGAGATGGTACACCTAAGAATATGGTACATGATGAAGATCTTTGAGACATGAACTTCGTCACGGTTCTTGAACTCGATCATTGTTTCCGTCAAGAGCTCCAAGTCGAAGACACTTTATGGCAGATCCGTGAACGCCTCAAATAGAACTCCACTTGTTTAATTTTATTGTCATGTTGAATATGAACTAAACATTCAACTTGCTCTCATCCTAAATCTTTCGATGTCATGTATTAATCGTCATAGTAGTTGCTCATCTGTTTTGTTTGCCACCTTAGCTTCATCATTAGTTTGTGGAATGAAGATTGTGCTATTATTTTGAATAGTATCCAACATGCTATATAATGTTTCCAAAATGGGTTGAGGGAGTGGGAGTCAATATGAGATAGCCGAGCTCAATAAGCTGAAATTCGCTTGAACTTTTTTTTTAGAAAGAAATGTATTTTAGTTTGTTTACTCTGCATGAGTGTTATCATCTATGTCTCTATGAGACCTCGTATGCTATAATAGAAACATAATTATGACCGATAACAAGTTTACAATAATCCTCTTACGAAATCCATGAACTTGTTCTCTTACGCTTGAGATAATACAAACAGTGGAGCGTACAGTCCTTACTTTATATTGAAAGATTTTGAGGTGCAGTAGAGTGCACATTTTGTCATGACCTGACACAGGACTTAAAATTATCCAAGATAGGAACAGATAGTCAGACAGTGATAATTAAAATTATTTTATTTTCTATTTTTATTTTCTATAATTAAAATTTAATCATTCCATATTAAATGAAAGAGCTACTAGGGATATAATTAAACAAAGGATAAATTTACCTTAACTATGGTTGTCCACATCTTCTATAGATATTCTCTTATTTATTATTCTTTTTTACAGAAATGATTAAACTTGAAAAATTAATTTAAAACAATATTGAGCTAATCATAGTCAATGAATACTCTTGTTTGTAAACTATAGTAACACAATGAAAAAGAAAATAATATGCATACTAATCAATCTCTTAATAAATCAATATAAGATTGTTTGACAAATTATATTTATGAATATGATTGGTCAAGGTATTTCAAAACCTTTTACTATATCATACTGTATCCTTTAAGTGTCTATATCATTTTATTTACATATGTCACAAGAGTATTGTCTAAATTTTGTATCATTTAACGTGCACAATATCAACAATTATTTTCATTTACATGCATGGATACCGTAGTGTCTCTTAGCATGTATCATAAGGGGATGCAATATATCATAGTGAATCATCCGCATACAAGCACATATAGTTCATATCATTTATATGCTATTTTCATTCAATTCTACCTTTATATAATGCATAACATTAGTATTTATAAAAATATATATTCATCACTATCATATGATCAACATCTAGAAGAGTACATAAATCACAATAAATTGGTGCAATTAGGTTTTAGTAACAATAAATGAATTCGGTTTAGAATAAACAAAAAATACCATAGCTTAAAAGTAAAAGTGCTCACCTTGCTTGCTGATGATTTTTGTTTCGTTTTAAGTTTTGAGATCTCTTATACAATATAATACCTATCATCAATTATAAAATATTATTGTAGTTAAATTAAATAAATTATTTATCATTATTTATATTTCTAATATTTTAAATTTATCACATTTTATGAAATTTGATACTAATTTATATATTTATGTAAATCTCACTATTAAGTTAAGCTTTATTATATCATTAAATTATCACTACGATGTAATATCTCTATTTGACAATAATTTATCTAAAAATAAAATAACTCTTAATTAAAGCTTTGCCTAAATCAATTATTCGAATCTACTGTCCCGCTTGCATTTCTCTCTTACGCGCATAAACGAGTCCAAAGTCTTTCTTGCAAGTCTTCATAACCTAAATTAACATAATTTCATATCAATATTGTCTTAGAATTAGGTGTTAAATCAAGATAAATTAGATGCAAAATTGAAATTTGTCTCAATTCCTCTTATTACAAAGTCAACAATTCATTTAGGATCCTCTTTAACCCCGCATTTACTGTCGTTAATTCTTCCTTCCTGCTTTATCGTTTTGATTAATAAAAGAAAATCTTTATTAATGCTTTAAATGCAATTCAATTAATATAATTAAAAATCTAAATATCCTTAAACCCCAACTTATCCTAAAATGCTCATTTCGGTCCCCCCTCTCGCCTAAAGACTCCTTCCCATAAACAAACCTCCTATCCTCTATTTCGGTGAGACATGGGCTCCAAACATGAGTACTGCTGCGAGCAACACGGTACTCCGCCTCTTCCTTCGCTCTAAGAGGGTTACAACTCAATTTCCTTTGGTTAGTTGTCTAGGGTTCACATCATCCCAAGCAAAGCTTCCTTCCTCTCCTTTGCATAAGATGAAACCTTCATGTAAGAGATATTACTTCTCAAACTCCCTTCTTTTCTCCTTCACACTTTCGATGTCACCCCTCGCACGAAGTGTCGTATTCCCTTCCACAATATGCATGCAACACTTCCAAGGTTTGAAACACTCTCTCTCGCTCTCTGACTCTATTCTTCCTTTTTCTTCTTTGATTAAGGCATGGGCTCCTTTGGCGACAGTTTACAAGGATCAGTCGACTCTCTGCAAGCCACAAGATATAGAAAAAAATTGCTTGCTTTCCCTTCTCTTCTTCTTCATGGCTCCTACTTTTTTCTTTTGCTCGTTTTTCTTTCTCTCTTGCTGTCTATTTCTCATTCAGTTCGAATGATAAAACGAGAGTATAAATTCTTCCTTTTAATTTTCCTCGAATGTCGCGTCTCCTTCAAGCAACAAATTTTTTTTCTACTTATTACTATCTCTCATCCTTATAAAAATTGTCCTCCAAATTTATAATTTTTTCCCTAGCCTCACCTCATTAAAGGAAACACAAACTATTCATAAATTTTCATGAAGTTTAGATTCCATTCTTAGGATGAAAAGTAACTAATAAAACTAAGGTACGATACAAGATAACTCAACTAATTTTACCCATCAACTGAAATAGTATAACATCACATCTAAAACAACACAACATAATTATAACAACACACGCCCGTTGAAATAGAGCACTATAATGACATCTATAACATGCAAAGGAAAACAATCATCAACTCATATTAGCATCAACATTAACAATAGTAGGTTTTTGTGTCTCAATACGTGGAAGGGCATAAACTCGAGGTCAAATTAGCTGTCATGGTTTGTATAGAGTGGGAGTTGAAGTTGTTGACTCTATCCTCCTTTGCTCAATCGGAAGGGACCCGAGCTGGATCTCTTAGATACAGGCAACTGCCCGGACAGCGTTTTTCCCGCCCCTTCTTACCTCTCCGGGCCCAGGGGGATCCGGAGGAGTTGGACGTCTTGGGTGTTCGCGGTGAGGGTTTCCATTGTGTTCGAAATGTCAAGGCACTTAACTTTCTTTCATATTTTTCATATCTTTATGCGACATTTCGTACACAGGGAAATCCTGCGGTGAAGAAAGTGGAACAAGACGGATTTTTTAGCTGCGACGTCTAAGTAGAGGGTTGTGCTTGTCTTCCAAATGATAAGGTCATTTCTCCTCAACTGTGTCGGTCGTTACTCATTCTATGGACCGACCGTCCCTTCTGAGGGTTAGTTTCAGTCTAAAGGGTTGTAAAGTATGTACCTGGTATGTTTGTTGGTCGGAAGTGTCCTTGTATCTTTCATTTGGAATAAAATTACCTTTTTTATCTTGATTTTGTTTTATTTTCATTACACTTTCTTATGTGTTGTTCCTTATTTCTATTGTACTATGGTTATTTTTGTGGTTGACTGATCGGCGGTGTCTCTCCTCAAACCTTTGTTCGGGTCGGCCTAGAATTTGATTGATAAGGACAACCGTTCGACAGAGTTTGGTCGGACCAAGTTTCCCGAGTATCTTTGGGAGTTGAGACATTGAGTTAAGGATTTAGTTTGTTTTTTTATTGCATTGACCAAAATTATAATAAGGATAACACTTCCCTTCGAGTATATAAGGAATAAATTTATAAAACAAAGAGTTTTTCTATGAAAAAAAATTCTTCAAGTTGTATTCGCTCCATGTCTGTGGGAGTTCCTTTCTAGCATATGTCTTTAGTCGATACACCCCAGGAGAGATGTGTTGGCAGATAATATAATTCGCGCTCCAACTTTGGTCCAACTTACCGATCGCCTGTGCGTGAGCTACTGGATCGACCTTCTTTAGGACTAGGTCTCCTGAGACTAAAGTTC